TCCCAGGGAGATCTGGAGCAGGGCTGAGTCTCACAAGAGTGCTCTGGGTAGCCAGGCTGGTGGCAGGGCAGGTGGTCGGGAGGATTTGGGGACATCAAGCCAGGGGGCTGTGGTGCAGCCACACCTGGAAACCCAGGAGTGGCAGGGGTGTGACCAGCGAGTCACGTTGTGTCCCAGGGTGGGAACAGGGAGCTCCTGAGGTGGACCTGAGGACACTGAGTCACGAGGGAGCTGTTCCACAAAGGACTCTGAGTCATGAGGGTGCTGTTCCACGAAGGATGATGAGTTTCAGAGGTGCTGTCCCAGAAGAGACGCTGAGTCACCAGCCTGAGGTGTGCCAAGGTGTCAGTGATGTCATGGCACTGCCTGTGGGATTGAGAACAGGGAGGCAGCACCCGGGGAACTCACCTGGTTGTGGGAAGGGCTGTGAGGGACAGGAGATGGGTCTGGGAGGTGATGGGGTGTGACAGAGCAACAGGGGATGTGTGGTGGGTGGGACCTGAAGTCTCTGGGTGTGTTTGATATGGTCAGGGTGGGAAGTCCCCAGTCAGGGGAAAGGAGCAGGTGACAATGGGGGCAAGAGGGAACAAGGGTGAAGGGGGACAAGGAGTCCTCACTTGTGGTGAGAAAGATGAGGAAGAGGATGAGCCCAAATGAGAACTGCAGCCAGAGCATATCCTGTGAATGGAGCCACAGGCATTTGGGATGGGGATAAGGAGAAATGGGAATGTCACCAGTGTGGGAGCACCATGTCCCTGTGATGGTGTGGAGCTGAGGGACAAAGGGGGTGTGGAGCACCAGGGAGGGAAGGTGGAGCCCATACACAGGGAGTTCAGGGAAAAGGAGCACAAAGGATTGAGGATGCAAGAGGGATGGAAGCACTACGCACTGGGGGTGCGGGAGGGAGGGAGCACCGCACATCGGGGCTGCAGGGAGGATGGGATGAAGGCAAGACGCATGCAGAGGCTGGGACTGATGCAGGAGCACAGCGGCCAGGGAATGTTCTCAGCCTGGCACCGACGTCTTGCTGCTGCTGGCCCCGGGTACCAGCCGTGACCAGTGCCCTGCGGGGTGACAGCCACCGTCAGGGAATACCCCAGGGCCCGGGGAACTCGTGGGACATGGGCAGCGTGGCCCGCTGGAGACAGCACAGCCCTTCCCAGCCCTGCGAGACTCCTGAATCAGCTCCGTGAGCTGTCCCCGCCGCTCTGATCTCCGCCCAGCTCCGCGCCGGCAGCGCTGATTTACAGCTCAGCCCCTCCTGTTACCTGGCCCGAAGCCGTGCGGGCCGTGGGACCAGGGCGGGAGGGTTGGTGACAGCAGCCCCGGGCACCATCAGACACAGCAACGCCGAGATTTACAGACTCAGAAATCGAGCAGGAGCCCAGCGACCCAGGCGGGTTCATGCGGCTGAGTGGGGTTCAAGGGGCAAAATCCACGGTCCTTGAACACCAGAGGTTAGGGGAGAAGTGGACAGATTCCAGTCACGTTTGGATGCTGGGAAAGCAAAATGCTCTGTCCTCTAAGGATGTGAGTGCAGAGCAATCCCATCCAGGGTATGTGAAACCCCTCCAGCCACCTCGGGTCTGTCCTGCTGTCTGTCACCTCCTCGGCCATGGAAAGATCACAGAATCGTTAAGGTTGGAAAAGCCCTTCAAGGTCATCGAGTCCAACCAATCCTCCAGTACTGCCAAAGCCACCACTAAACCACGTCCCCAAGTGCCACATCCACATGTCTGTTAAACCCCTCCAGTGATGGGGACTCCCCCACTGCCATGGGCAGCCTCTGCCAGGGCCTGGCCACCCTTTCTGTGAAGAAATGTGTCCTGTTCCAACCAGAACCTCCCTCCTGCCTCTGTCTCCCCACGGGGGCTCTCCAGATCCCATCTGGCTGTCACTCCACAGGGTTTTCTTCCCTGCTCTGCCCACTTCTGCACCCAGCAGAGCATTCCACTTCCACCTTGTGTAGCTCAAGTGCCCCACGGGATGGTTGTCCGTGCTTTACCAGTTCAGGAAATGCAGCAGAGAGCTCAGGGGACCATAAAGGGCCCTTCCCAGAGCTGGGAATGTCTTGGGATGCCTTGAGGACATTTTCTGGTGCTGATAGGGTCCTGCACCACCAAGAAACTGTAGTCAGGACAGATGTACAGAGATGCAGCCCATGACCCTGACAGCCTCCAGTGACAGTTACCATGACTGTCCCCAAAGTCCTATGAGCCAGAAGCTGCCAAGTCCACGGTTATTGCCCTCCAAGCATCTGTCCCCTTGCCCTAGGGCCATCCACACCACAGCTGGACCCAGGGGCTGTGTAGGCCATCCAGAAAGTCTCTGAGGCACACAGAGACTGTCACTCCAGCCTGATGAAGAAGCTTAGAGACATTCCAACATCATTGGAATCATTGTCCAGGGGGACAGCATTAGTCCCACTTCAAGGGCCAAGGATGGGCCAGGGCTGCCCTGCACAGGCCCTGGGCCCTGCAAGCCCACCTACCCAGGCACCAATGCCACCACACACTTCACCTGGGGATCCAGGAAGGCTCAGAGGAGGAACCTGCAGGCAGGTTTCATGACAGGTGACATTGCTCACCCTGGAGATGCCTGATCCAAACCCAGCACAGACCTGGGCTTTTCCCATCTCCTGTCCCAGCTCAGTGGCAGATTTGAAGGCATGGGACCCACCTAAGCTGTCCTTCCCCCCCTGCAGCAGCTCCTTGCAGAGGGAGGGCAGGCAAGGTCCAAGCAGAGATATGTGGGCTCGGGGGGCTCAGCCAGGTCCCCCAGGACCCTTTGAGGGGTGGTGAGGACACTCCAGCAGGGCAGCTGAGCTGAGCTCCAGGGCCCCAGCACCTCATCAGGGTACAGACAGACCCCTGTCCCCAGGCAGGGGACAAGGACAGCGCCCTGAGGAACTGCACCATCAGAGAGGAACGTCCTGTGACCCAGTGGGAGCCCGCCAGCACCAGGCCACGTGTCAGGACAAAGTCCAGCCTCACACCGGCACCAGCCATGGGACACTCCAACCTGCCACAACCTGCTGTCACCTCTGTCCCCCGCCCTCAGCAGGGACAGCCCAGGGCATCCAACACTGGCAGCAGGTCTGGTGCAGAGCCCAGCTGGGTCATGCCGGGTCACAGCCGTGGTGGTGGCACGGGGTGCAGATGTTTGCACAGCTGTGCTGTGATAAAGCCAGCCAGCCGCGGGAATGGGGTGCTTGGGAAAGTGACAGTAAATTTGGGACTGGTTCTGTGTGAGTCACAGCTGCAGAAGGCAAGGCCCAGTGGCCCCTGGGGCCAGCAGAGCAGGGACAGGGGGTGTTGGTGGTGCATCCTGGTTTGTAAAGGAAGGTTCAATAAATGATGGGAATCATGACGAGGCTGTGAGAGCCCTTGCTGGAGGCCACAGCCCTCAGCACGAGGGGCAGGATTGGGCCCACACTGATGGCAGCAAAGGGGACGAATCGCCCATGAACAGTGGCAGGAGCTGTCCCAGGGCTGCAGCCCCCGCAGAGGCCGCCCGGGAGCCATCCCTGCGTCCTCAGGTGGGTGGAACGTCCCTGCTGTCACGGGGCCGAGCCCTGGCCGCCCCCCAGCCCCGCACTGTCCTCGGCCACTCCATCAGCAATTCTCCGAGCGCGTCCCCGGGCCCGAGTCCGGGGTCCTTCCCGCGGGTGGAGGGCTCCCTCTCGAGGGTCCGGAGGAGCACTGCCCGGCCGCGGGGCTGGCCCCGGTGTGACAGCGGGCAGGTCCCCAGGGAAGGAAGAGAAGACAAGCAGGAGGACACGGGGACCACAGAACAGGTGACGAGGCCACCACCGCGGCCTCGGGGCAGCCACCAGCTCTGTCAGGACACCGCATTTTCTTCCCGTCATTAATTAGCTGATGAATCCGTCACTAATTAGCGGCTGTTTCACTGCTGGAAACAGACAGAGGCGGTGGGCACAGCTGTGGCTTGTCCCAGAGCGTGTCCCTCGTCCTCGCTGCGACACCAAAAGTTGGTTTAGCGAGAGACTCCCTCAGTGACCTCTCGAGATACCGCTATCTTCGAGAGATAAGGAAGCTGGATACGGAACAAATGTTGGGCACCTGGATCAGGCATTCCAGAAAACTGTGGCCTGGAGGTGACACCTGCCCCTCTCTGCATCGCGCTGGTTCTCGGGGGTTTCTTGCTCTGAGCAAAAGCCGAACTTCACGTAGGTTATACACTCATGGCACACCTCGAGCTGGAAGGGACCCGATAGGGATTGATGCCAGACATCGGGATCGTCAATTCCAGCTCCCTGCTCCTCGCAGGAGCCAGGATGTGCCTCCTCCTTCCCAGCCACTGCCCGCTCCTGTCCTCTGTTCCCACGGGTCAGCGCAGAATGACCCCCCCCCCCGAGGGGGCGGGATGGGCAGATCAGGACAAGGAGGAGCTGCCCCGGTGATGGGTGGCCTCCTCCCCGGGGCAGTCCCGGGCTGTCACTGCCACACACAGTGGGACACGGAGGGCTCGGGTGGTGGCCGCGCTGGGTGACGGTCGGAGTGGAGGAAGGAGATGCGTATGCAGGATGGAGGTGACAGAACAGCACTGGGGCCGTGTGTGGCTGGGCCCAGGGGCTAGGCAGGAGGTGACCTGTCCAGGGCCCTGTCCCCATGCCTGGGACATGAGTGACGCAATGGGAACTGACCCCTAGCGGTCAGAGCAGCAGGAGCAGCGGACACTGCTGGGAGACAGTGGTAGCCCTGGGCTCCTGGTGCCACCCCCCGTGAGGATTCGGTGTCACGCCCCCAGGGTATTTGATGTCACCGTTCCTGGACTTGGTCATCCCCCCAGGGCACTTGACACCCCCTTGGGGCACTTGATCACCCCGCAGACATCTGGTTAAGTCTCAGGACACCTGGTCCTTTTCCATCCCTTCCCGGCGCGCTTGGCTGTTCCCAACGCCCCGAGGGGCAGCACCGGCGGCCAATGGAGCTCGGGGGCGTGGCCGGGGCCAGGTCGTGTATTTTATGGGGCATGTCATGGGCGGGGTCATTGGGGAAACGCGCGTTGAGGGCGTGTCCTGGGCGGGCCGAGAAGCCAATGAGACGCTGGGGGCGAGTCGCGAGCGGGAGGCAAAGCCAATGGGCTTTGGGGGCGTGGCCGGGGCGGAGCCCCCGGATCAATGGGTGCGGGGGTGGGGCCCGGTGTGGGTTGATTGGCCCAGGCGGTACCGGACGGTACCGAGCCGTAGTGTGATGGGGCTGCCGGAGGCCGTCCGAGACCGGGTGGCCGCGGTGCACCGGGGCTCGGCGCTGCCCGAACGGCTACGGCTTTACGACGGCTGGGCCGCCCGCTACGAGCAGGTACCGGGGACACAGCGGGAACGGGAGTGCCGGGGGACCGCGGCTGTCCCCGCTGACCGCCGTGTCCCCGCAGGATGTGGCAGCTCTGGAGTACCGGGCACCGCATCTCGCCGCCGCCTCGCTCGCCTTCGCCTTCCCCTCGCCGCACGCGGAGGCGCGGCTGCTCGACGTGGCCTGTGGCACCGGGCTCGTGGCGCGAGAGGTACCGGCGGGGCGGGGAGGGCCGGCGGTAACGGGATGGGACGGGGCGGGGGTGACGGTGCCTCTGTCCCTGCAGCTCCACCGGCGCGGGTTCCGCTGCCTGCACGGCGTGGACGGCAGCGCGGGGATGCTGGAGCGGGCACGGAGCACCGGGCTCTACCAGGAGCTGCGGCTCTGCGTCCTTGGCAGGGATCCACTGCCCGCGCCCGCAGGTAACGGGAGGGGGCGGACCCCCGGGAACCCCGCGGTGACACCCGCCTGTCCCGCGGGTGACGGGCCGGCATCGGGCGGGGGGAGCCTCGGAGGGTCCCCCCGGTGACACCCCGTGTTCTCGCAGAGCACTACGACGCCGTGACACTGGTCGGGGCCCTGGGCGAGGGGCAGGTGCCGAGCACGGTGCTGCCGGAGCTCCTGCGGGTCACCAAGCCGGGTAAGGGGGGGGGGCATATTTCCCCCCCCCGCGCCGGGACCCCGGGGTAGTGGGGGGGGACACCGAGCCCCGGTGGATGTGGGTCCCCCGCTGAACACTGGACCCATGGCACAACTGGGACGTGGCCTTGTCCCTATTGCCAGGGACGGGCGATGGCACGGGGTCCATGACCCTGCCCACCGCCAGGTCTGGGAGGCGGGACAAGGTAGGAGGTGGCAGTAACAGTGGTGGTGTGTGACAGCCTGTACTCAGGCGCGACATCCCGCCCATTCCCTACCCGCTGGCCCCCTGTCCTGCCCACCTCTGCCTGCTGTCCTTTTTATCCCCTGCCCACTGCCCTGTCCATGCCCTCTCTGTGCCTGTCCCCTGCCCTGCCTGTCCCTTGCCCGCTGACTCCTGGCAGACTGTCGGTGCTTCTCTATGTCTCCACCCTTTCCGAGGGATGCCGTCCCCAGAGAGGGACACCCTGTGTCAGTGTTACCTGTCTCCTGTCCCGCAGGCGGCTTCCTGTGCCTGACGACGAGGAGCAACCCCTCGAACCTGCGGTACAAGGCGGAGTTGGAGGCGGCGCTGGGGCAGCTGGAGCGGAGCGGAGCCTGGCAGAAGCTGCTGGCCCAGGAGGTGGAATACTGGGAAAGGGCCGTCACCGAGGAGGAGAGCACCCAGAGCAACGGCTACATCTCCGGGGTGGTCTACATCTACCAGAAGTGCCCTGTCCCTCTCCTCGAGGAAGGCTGAGAGCTAGCATGGCTCTGGAGGGGGCATGAGCACTTGACCCCTTATAAAACTGAGCCCAGTGACCCCGTCCTGCGGCAGGGCAGCTGCTGGAGGTGACAGTATTTGAAGGGAATTTCCCCATTCCCTTCCTTGGTTCCTTCTCACCAAGGTCAGGGCTTGGGGCCCTTGTCTGCTCCTCTGCACGAGAAGGGTCTCCAGGATTCACCAGGGTCACCTGGGCATCACCTTCAGCTCTGACATTCCGGTATTGACCCCAACACCTCAGCACTCACCATGACATCTCACAGACTCACATGGCTGTTCTGAGGCACATCCAGTCTGAGATGTATTCTCCCCACCTCACCCATCTCAGCACTCATGGTCAAAATCTGGATCCTTCTTCATCTCCCACCCCCAGAGTCTTTACCTGGCGACTGTTGGAGGTGGGTTCCCACCACTGTGTCCCGTGGCCTCCTATACTTCATCCTCCCTAGGGACTGACCCAGCCCTGAGGTGCAGGACCCTCCACATCCAGAGTCAAAGCAGCAAGGCCAAGGTGGCTCCCAGCTGGACAGGCTTACACCATATCTACCTTTCATCCCATAACAGCTGCTTGAATCTCTCATTTTCCTACAGCTTTGTATTTAATGGTCTGGGAGGGGAAATGAGTTTGGAAGGGATTTGGGGAGGTAGTGAGTGCTCCCCACCCAACACTGCCTGCCCAGCCTGTTCCCCCAGCCCCTTGCTAGGCTGCCTCCACAATTCTTCCTCCACTGCTCCCTTGGGAAGTTTTTTACCCAAATTTCTTGCTGGAATATTTTGGGGTTGTTTTTTTCATTTTTCCCTTCCCTCAGACCTGTTCCTGCTCATCCTGTTCCCATGTTCCTGGAGAACAGGTTGCATCCTTCCCCTCAGGAGCTGTTTCTCAGTGTGAGGCAATGGATGTGTCTGTCCTTCACCCAGGGCATCCCATATCTTCCACACTTGCCCTCTCCATGGTTCTTGTCACCCTTCTGTTTTGTTGCCCGTGTTTTGGGGTCCCTGTACCCATCAGCAGCTGTCCTACTGCTCCCTCCCCATTTGTCTCCAACACTGTCTCCTGGGCAGCTGGGGGTTCTGGCTGTCCCCAGCCCTGCACTGGCCTCTTCAATAAACTCCTGTCCCTGCTGTCTGTGTGTTCCCAGAGCAATGGAAATGTGCATCCTCCTGGGTGAGTGGCCAGGAGCCTGTGAGGGGAGATTCAGCCTTTCTCTGGGCTCCCCTTCCAGTCCATGGGGGCTCAGAGCACCTGGTGTCCCCCCATCCCCCGTGCCTCTCTTAGCTCTCAGCATCCTCTCCCTGCCTCAGTTTCCTGCTGCAGGGAATGTCAGGAGTACCCTGGCTGGCTACTGCTGATCCCCATGGGAAGATGGGGATATTCCAGGTGCTGGAACATAGCAGCTGGCCGGGCACAGCACCCCCAGGACGCATCGCCATCCTCCCCGCACCGCGCTGTTCAAAATGAGCCCAGGCAGCCTTGGTGGCACCAGGATGTTTATAGTCCCTGCCCTGGGGAAAGGCACATAGGGGGACCGTGCTGGGGGTCAGCCAGAGTGGGAATGGGCAGGAGGAGGCAGTGCAGGGACAAGGGTGTGGTATGGAGATGCAGGACAGGGACAGTGGTGCTCTGCCTTGGGCTGGCACCTAGGCACAGTGGCTCACACATAGTCCTTCATGGCATAGCCCATTGGGCCGCAGGTTTTCACTGCCCTATACTTCTTGGGGTAGGGGTCCTGCTGGGATTGGGATCCTGAGCAGCACAGGACACCCCCACCGAAGAGCTGCAGGGCACTGGAAGCCCAGCCAATGTAGAGGGCAGCCCCTAGCTCTCTCTTGAGGGCCTCAGGCACCATGGGGTTGTAGAAGTTGCTGACAATGCTGTTGGCAGACCAGGAGACAGGGATGAGCAGCATGATGCTGGCCATGATGAAGATGACACCTGCCACCGCAGAGATCCTGGTCTTGGTGCTGTTGTCATCCACGCAGCGGGTGCAGTCAGCTCCTGAGAGGGCGATGAAAAAGGCAAGGAAGGCCACGAAGATGGAGGTGACCACCAGGGCACGAGCAGCTTGCAGGTCAGAGGTGAGCTCCAGCAGGGAGTCGTAGGCCTTGCACTGCATCTGCCCCGTGCTCTCGTAGACACAGTTCATCCACAGCCCTTCCCAGAACACCTGGGCCACCACGATGTTGGAGCCGATGAAGGCAGTCACCTTCCACATGGGCAGGGCACAGGTGAGGATGGAGCCCAGCCAGCCCAGTGCGGCCATCATCAGTCCTCCCGTCTGCATCGTCATCATTGCCATCAACAGCTCCTGCGGGGACAGGCATGGGTGTCACAGGTACAGCCCATAGTCAGGGACAGTATGGCTTCATCTGGGTATATCCTGCTCCCCACCAGGGTGGGAACAGCTGCAGGACAGCATGGGGACATGAGCGACATGGGGACATGAGTGGCATGGGGCAGTGCTGCAGGACAGGATGGGGACCCATGTGGCACTGAGGATCCAGGCCCCAAGCAGGCCAAGGTGCAGGAACCCCATGTGTCACACTGGCCCCTACACTGTCCCCACAGCACAGTGCAACCTCTGCCTTCACCCCTTCCCAAGACATGGCTAGTGTCAGGGAAGGGATGGCTTTTGGGGAGCAGGATGGGGGCTCACTGTGCCCATCCCCCAGTGCTCCAGAGTTCAAATCCCCCACGCTCACCCCATGTCCTGCCCTGGTGGCCATCTCCCAGTGCCCACCCCACGTCCCACTCCACCACAGGTGCTCAGTCTCTTTGGCCACAAGCCTCGTGCCAGGGGCATGGACAGGGAAGGCAGGCGCCCATACCACTCAGCACTGCCTCTCCAGGTTTGCCTTCACCCTCACAGCCATGCCACAGTGCCCTTAAGACCCAGGATCTCCTCTCCAGGAAAAACTGGAAATGGGTCAGAGCTCAGCTCTGCCATGATCCCAGGTCTGGGGCTCAGCACCTTCTGTGATATCCTGGAGCAGCCTCGGGAGCAGCCCCAAGAGGGCAAACCCTGCTGAGGGGCTATAGGGTCACCACAGTAGAATCCCTGGGAGAGGAGTGGCTGGTACAGGGACACATGCTGAGCACACCAGCAGCTCCACCGTGGTCATATGTGACTGCTGTGGCCCTGGCTCAGCCCAAATCCAGCTCAGCCCCTCATGGAGCAGAGTTCACCCACAGGTGCCTGTGCCATGCTTGGCAGCTGGGACCAGCCGGGGTTTTATGACCCCAAGCTCAGCAGGTATCGGTTGTGCCTGGCACACCCCTGCGGCTCTTGCAAGAGGTTTCATCGTCATTTCCCCTGTCCTAGTTTCGGTTTCTCCAGCCTCTCCTCTCCCGTTGTATCCCCACTCCTCACCCAGCACCTTTTGTCCCTCAGGAACCTGATGGACATCCAGCACTGGGACTGTGCATCCCCTGGGCCATGAAAGACCTTTTGGGCCAAAATCACAGCCCCTCCCGCCGTCCTCCAGGCAGGCAGGGGCCGGGATGGTTGGAGCCATCCCAGGCATCCTTCGCCAGCGGGACCTGAGCCACACGAGACACCCAAGACAGGGTGTATGACCGCCAAGTGGTGGCTCCATGGATCCCCAGGGCGTTGTGCTCACATTCCCACCTGACCACAAGCACCACGGGATTACAGGCGTATTTTTCACCACTCCCGTGCCCAGTGAAGGGACTGGGGAGCCCTCCAGCCCTCAGATCCAGATGAGACACCCAGAGGCAGGCGGAGTCACCTCTCGTCCCCACAAATCCCGAGGTGGGAAGGAAGGATGTTCCCAAGCCAGAGGAGCACTTGCCGTGCCGGAAGCAAGATAGGCAAAACAGCCGGCGCTGCCCACGCCGGCCCCGGGCCGCTCCCAGCGGGGGCTGTGGGGTGGCCCCGGGGCCAGCACGCCCCGACCCGCCTCGGCCGGCGCCCGCCAGCTTCTTCCTGCTCGGGTGGGAAGATCGCGGCGGGTCAGGCGTGGGACAAGCGTGGAAACCGATGCCGCCAAGGCTTTGTGCAGTGGAAGCAGCCGCTGTCACTCCCGGGGCGGCCCGGGAGGGGGAACGGCTAGTGATGCCAGGGCTGGGACAGGCGGCGGGGATCTCGAGAGGCTCCGAAAAACTGATTTTGGTGATCTCTCAGGTGGACGGGAGTCCAGGGCACAGGGACATCGGGCTGTCCCACCACCGAGGCGGGTGTTGAAGAGGGTAAAGAACACGAGGCACAGCGGGGTCTGAGCAGCTGCCGTTTAATGCGGGAAGGCTGGACACAGGGAGGGACGGCAGCACAGCCAGGGCTACCGTGAGACTCCCGGACTCCCGGCCCCCGGCACCCCCCTCCGAGGCGATGGATGGGGTCGGGTGCGGGAGTCGCCCCCCACCGTGCGGGGGCACAGCCCCGCTCCGGTCCCGCCTCCCTGACTGGTTTTCCCAGCCCGGCCGCTGCCTTCCCACTCCCAGGATAATGATGCCCCCGCCCTGGGGAGCTGCCGCGAGAAATCACACTCTGTACGGCTGCTCCGAGCCCCGAAAATAGGTCAAAGTCAAAACTTAGGGAACAAGCAGGTGAGAGCCGCTGTCACCCCTCAAGATCCTGCCAGGGTTTGCAGAGCCACCTCGTCCCTGTGACCACGTGGGACAGATTCGCTGTCCCTACCAGCACCGACACCGCCACCCACCCCGAGGGACAAGACACGTCCTGGGGAGCTTCACGCGGGGAAAGAGAGCCCTGTGCCGCCCGTGGGACGGGCTCCTTGGAGCTTTGTCACCACATGGCATACCCCGATACCGGGAGCCAGGAAGCGCTCGAGGAGCAGATCAGCTGATGTCTCGGAGAAGATGCCTCAGCTGGATGCTCCGGGGGGAGCAGGACCCTCACCGCTGGCAGCCAGGACAGGATCTCCTTGTCATCTGTCTCAGCCGAGATTAAAGAACCGGCTTCAGTCCCGGTGGAACAAAGGCGGCTCTGTCTGCCCTCCCTCCGCCCCGGCGCCCGGCCAGTCCCAGCCCAGCCGGGGAGGTTGCGTGTCCCGCGCCCCGGAGCGCCGGGGGGTCCAGGCAGGCGCGGCGGCTCCTACACGTAGTTGCTGGCTGGCAGCGAGCGAGCAGCCGTGAACTTGGCGGAGTAGGGCTTCTCTCCGCGGGGGGGGCAGGTGCAGCACAGGATCCCTCCCCCCAGCAGCAGGAGCACTGAGGCCGCCCAGCCCACGTAGAGGGATGAGCCCAAGTCCCGCTTCTGCGAGTCAGAGACCAGAGGGTTGTAGAAGTCCTGGATGATGCTGTTGGCTGACCAAGAGATAGGGATGAGGATGAGGATACCGGCGACGATGAAGATGATGCCGGAGAGGATCATGACCTTGGCTTTGGCAGTGTCGTCCTCCACACAATTGGTGCACTTGCCACCAGTGACGGCCAGCAGGGTGCCCAGGATGGCCAGGACGATGGCCACCACTACCATGGCACGGGCGGCTTGCAGATCCTGCGGCAGGGCCAGCAGCGAGTCGTACACCTTGCACTGCATCTGCCCCGTGCTCTGCACCACGCAGCTCATCCACAGTCCTTCCCAGATGATCTGTGCCACCACGATGTTGTTCCCGACGAAGGCCGTCTCTCGCCACATGGGCAGCGCACAGCAGAGAATGGAGGCCAGCCAGCCGATGACGGAGAGGGCGATGCCCAGCACCTGCATCCCCATGGAGGCCATCGCTCGCTGCCTGCTCCCCTGCCCGCCTCCCGCCGCGCAGTGCCGGCTGCCGGGACCACGGCAGGCATTATATGCCTTTGCCGAGGGAGGAGCGCCGCCGCAGCCGCCGGCCTGCCGCCGGCACCGGACGGAGGGGTAGAACCAGTTTCCCGGGATTCTTCCACTTGTATTTCTCCCTGCAGCGATGACACTTAATATCCCAGTTGCTCCCACGGAGGAGGACGCAGGAGGTCCACGCAGGGGACCGGGATCAGGCCACCCAGGTTCAGGAGTGCATCCCATTGCTGAGGGCAGGCAGGACATGTCCGGGGCAGCACTGGGAATCAGCTTGGGATGCTAATGGGGAAGGGCCGGTGTCCAGGCACTAGAACATCTCTGCCATCACTGCCAGAATCCTCTGCTCCACCACTTGGATGGGGTCCCCTCATGCCTTCATGCCTCCATTTCCCTCCAGCTCATGGTGACTGCTCCAACATCAGCCCAGCCTCTGGCCCCCCATGGCCCCATGCCGGGGGAGCAGCACATTGTCCCCTCTGGCTGCTGGGCTCCGTGCCCAGCAAGACACAAGCGGCTCTTGTTTGCTCCTTGGCGTCCGTACCAGCACTTCCCAGCCCTCCATTAGGCCTCGGGCAGGAGGTGTCACCGCCCAGACCCACAAACCGGTTGGAGCGGCTGCTAGTTCCCCACGAAGGAGAGATGGCACTGCCTGGGGCAACAGGGGGGCAGACCCCAAACCCGGCTCACCTGTGCTCCCGTGCCAAGCCAGGGTTCACACAGTCACCCTCAGTCCCGGCTCTGCCCTTGTCCCTCTGCCTGCGTGGTGAGGTTGCGTGGGTTGAGGCTGTGAGGGGCAGATGTGGCCTCAAGCTGTCCCAGTGCCATACCCACTGATTCCAGTGCTGATGCCAATACCAGTGCCGGCACTGATGCCATACTGATGCTGACCTGCCCTCCTTTAATCCATGACTCTCACACAGGCCCCATCCCTGCTCCCTTTAACCCCTGCACAGGCGCACCACGACACCAGACAGACGGCACAGATAGACAGACAGACGGACATTGCACTATTTCATCACCCTAGCTTAATCCTGGCCCTCTGGAAAAGATAAGAGGCACTGAGATAATCTTAGTTTTCCCGAGCACTGGGGTTATTATCACAATCCAACTATTTGTGCTTATTGCTTGGTGTGACTCTGGAGCTGCTACTGCTCATGCCAGGATGTCCCTGGGCATCGTGTCCCAGTGTGGTGGGACAAGCCTGGAGGCCCATGCACTGCGGTGCCAGGAGGATGGCTGGGGACACCCATGTCTCACAGCAGACCCCAGGCTAAGGGGATGGTCAGGGTCCAGCCTGCTTTACTTGTGCTGGAGCTGCCCAGGCTCTGTCCCTCTGTCGTGCTGGAATGCCCACATTGCTCACATACCTGTGTGTCCACCCTGCGGCCACAGCCTTGTGGTCAAGGGCTCCCTTTAATCTACAATCTTTAATCTCCAGAGCATCCCCTCCGGGGCCAGACTCTGCCTGAGGCTTTCGCCTCCCAACCGGCTGCTGTAACCATCACATTATTTGGGGTTGGAGAGAGGCACACGCCCACGTGTGTGTGTGGCTCGTAGGGGCCGTGTCTCCACATGCACATGGGGACAAACGGCAAGGTGGGAAACTGGGACTCCCCTGAACGCGGAGCATCAAAGCTTGAGCTGCTCATACTCCCCCTCGGAGGCAGAGTAGGCGCCAGCATGGCCTCTGACAGCCAATTACTGTAATTAATGCTAGAACGTGACATATATCCCACCTGGCAGCTGCCATGCAGGGGCAGCCCCTGTGCCCTTCCCCACATTCCCCAGTGACACACCCACTCGGACAGCTCTGCCAGCCCCGTGTCCCCAGCACTGCCGGACAGCAGGACCAACAGACACCTGCTCAGCGTGGAGGAGCAGCAGCCAACCCCAGAGGCCTTGGAGCCTGAGGATGGTGGTGTAGCAAAGGTGGGATCACCAAGCACCTCAGGACATGCCATCCAGGACAACCATCCTATGGACACCAGCCCCACATGGACACCAGCCCCACAGCCCTGTCCCAGTGCTCATTCCCAGTGCATCCTGCAGGACACCAGTCTCAGATTTTCCCCAGTTTCACCTGCAAAGAGCCATGGCACAGGCACAGGTCCCGGTGGGACCACAGCCCACTTGCTCAGCAGGAAGCTGCTCCACCCCAAAACAGGCTGCTCAACACACTTAACCCATGCTGAGCCTTCACCACCCAGCACCTGCCCCAGCACCCAGACAGGTGTGGATGCCCTGCCCCAAATCCAGTGAGATTTGAAGGACATGCAGGAGGCTGGGTTCCCATCCCTGTTACACCGTTAAGAGGGATGGTGAGGGCAGAGCTCCTGTCCTGGCATATCCATCAGGAAACACCTTCTGACACTTGTCCTGCGTTCACCAGCATGGGGACACACTGCAGCCCCTCGGCTGGGCAGTGAGGCCATTCTCAGGCAGGGAGGTGATATTAAATGCAGTGTCACCACAATGCTAGGCACTGCTGGGTGCACAGTAGAACCTGTGGAGGACACTCTGCAGAGGGAGGGCTTGGGGCATGAATCTCCGGCCAAAAAGGGCTTGGGGACATCCCTACCCAGGACACGGGTGACAGTCCCACCTCACATACCCCACACCACTGAGCCGAGAGCCCCTCATCCCCCAGGACCCACACATGGACCCACCAACCCGGCTACCTCAAGGTCCTGAAAAGGTAGACGAGACTTGCCAGCAAACGATGATCCAGCGGGATCTCTGGCTTCACATCTGCCAATCGAGGCACTGCCCAGACCCTCCTGCTCAGCCTGTGAGGAGTGGGGCAGCCTCTCCCGCCGGAGGCCGAGGATTAGTTACCGACAGCCCCAGAAACTGAATGTTCCCAAAAAACATCCTTGCCCAACATAAACACCTCCAACTGACTCAAATATGCATAGTCAGGTTGTTTCTCGCTATAGGAAGCAAAGTCTTATCGGGAGGGGAGCCGCCCGCCGGGACCTGCGGGGTCCCTGCGGCAAGAGAAGGGACCTTCGGCCTGAAGTCGCTCTGAAAGTCAAAACTCTGTTCAGTTTCTGAGCAACAAGTGGCTCCCATCACGGAAAACACCCCTAAGCGCTGCCAAGGTGGTTGGCGAAGGGATGGGGAGATGATGGATCAGGAAGGGGGTCATGGCGATGCAATGGGGGTGGCCCCACTGGCGATGCTCGGAGGACGGCAAAGCCCTGGGATAGACGATCAGAGCTCTCGGGGTGGGAATGCCCCAGACATGATCTAGCATCCCCTGTGAGCCACTAGCCCCCTGTCACATCCCGCAGGTCCGTGTCCCCTGCCATCCCCAGCCCCCGTGTGCCTCAGCCCCCTCCCCGCCCCGACGGCAGACAGAGCTGCCATTGATGCTCGGAGCTGCCTCACCTGCTCCCGCCGCGCCGAAGGGGCTCCAACAATGGGCTGCCTGTGTGCCCTGGCCGGGGCAGAGCCAGCAGCCCCGCGCCTGAAATATAAGCAGCCAAGGCGGCATTTACCGCCCCGGCCCCGCTCCCTCGGGGGAAAAAGCGCCGGCACTCCCGACCGCAGCGGCGGGGAACACCCCAACCCCGCCGCGCACGTGAGTGGGACGCGGCCCCGCAGCGCCCGGGGCGGTTTCTGCCGTCACCTCCTGCGCACCCCCGGGGTGCTGCCGGGTGCCGGGTGCATGGATGGGGGATGCTACAGTAGGTGTCCCCCTGGTCAGCGCAGCTGTCCTTCCTTTGGGGCCACCAAACTGGTGATGCTTCCTTGACCTTTGGGTCTGACATTTGTTTGGGGTCTCAGCACCACAGTAGAGCAAACCTGTCCCTGTGTCACTACTGAGTTCTTGCAGCTATTACACTTTCTGAGTGTATTACCCATTCTGAGGGACTTGGATACTCTTCATCCCTCCCTAGCTGTGCTGCAGTGCAGAGGGACTGCACCGGGCAGCGAGATGCCACAGTTGGGATGGGGATGTTCCCAGGAATCCCCCAAAGACGCCGGCCCTGCTCAGCTCCTCGGTAAACACCAGTGAGCTGGTTTGCTCACCACAAGAATGTGTCCTGCCGGGGGTGGCTGGCACCCTGAAACCCCAGTGATTTGCCCCTTCTTCCATCGTGAGTCAGGCGGCAGCAGCTGCCCCAGGCCGGCACGACACTGGACACAGCCTGTACTTTGGGCAATTTGGGATGACAAAGTGGGGACGCCGCGTGTGGGGCTCTGATTGCAGGGTTGGGGGCTGCAGTGTTTCACTGCCCTGTCCCACCCCAGCTCTGCCCCAATGGCTCCCACCCCATACACCTGCTTCAAGTATCCTACTCTTCCCCTGCCCTACAGCCCTACTTGGAGTATCGTCCCTGTCCCATATCCCTACCTAGAGGTATCCCTCCCTCCTACCTCCCACTCCTACGTGGCTTATCTCCCCTACCTCATGCCCTGGTGTTGAGTATTCTCATTGTTCCACAGACCTGGGGGTATAACCCTGCCCCTTCTCCTCTGTCCCATGGCCCTGTCTGGGGTGTAAACCCACTTCCCCAGAGCCCTGCCCCAAAACCTTGTTTGGGGTATTCCCACAGCCTACAACCCTTCCTGGGGTCTCCTCCCTGCCAGGGGAACCCCTGCCCACAGCCCCGCAGCCACATGTGCACTGGGGGAGGGTGTGGATGTGTGCACCTGTACCACCAGAATGTGCCTGTACACCTCTGCCTCTGTGTCAGTCTCTGTATGTGTGAGTCTGTGTGTATCTGTGAGTCTGAGTATCTGTGAGTTTGTGTGTGTGTCTGTGAATCTCTGTGAGTCTCTGTGTGTCTGTCAGTCTATATGTCCATATGTCTGTCCATCTCTGTGTCTGTCCATGGGTTTGTCTCTGTGAGTCTGTGTATCTGAGTCTGTCGCTGTGTGTCCATGTGTTTGTGTGTGTGGCTGCATGCCGGGACGTTGCTGCCGGCAGAGGGAGTGTGTGTGTGTGTGTGTGCGTGTGTGTGTGTGTGTGTGTGCCTGTACCTGTGTGTTTGTGGTTTGTGTATGTGCGCCTGTACCTGTGTGTTTGTGGTGTCTTGTGTGTGTGTGCCTGTACCTGTGTGTTTGTGGTTTGTGTATGTGCGCCTGTACCTGTGTGTTTGTGGTGTCTTGTGTGTGTGTGCCTGTACCTGTGTGTTTGTGGTTTGTGTATGTGCGCCTGTACCTGTGTGTTTGTGGTGTCTTGTGTGTGTGTGCCTGTACCTGTGTGTTTGTGGTTTGTGTGTGTGTGCCTGTACCTGTGTGTGTGTGCTCACCTGTGTGCCTGTGCACTCCCGCACCCCGGGGCCGCGGGCACTCCCCTGCCATGTTGGGGCCCTCAGCAGCCCAGCCTCCCCTCTGTTCGCTGCTGGCAGCCCAGTGGGCCTGGCCCTGTGCCCACTGTCACTGTGACAACACTGGACCGTGGACACCCACCCCGAGGTGACCCCGAGGGCCAGGACACCCAGAACCCCTAGCAACAAGGGCACAGAACCCTGGGGGCTGCTAGCATAGCATCTCCCCAGCAGCACAGACAGGGTCACCCCTGGCTACCCCCCAGCTGTGGGGATTTTGGGTGCCATCAGGTGGGTGATCAAGCTACAGTGGGGTGGCAGAAGCTCACCCAAACAAGTACAGGGTATTTTGGGGATGCCGTTGGTTGGCAGAGGCTGGATACGGGGGTATTGGGGTGTCACAGCGTGGTGGTCAGACATGGGGCGTTGCAGGGAGCTGGAGGTCAGGCTGGGTGGATACAGGGTGCTGGGTGACATGGGGTGACAACAGCTGACCCAGCCATATATGAGGTATCAGGCTGCCGTGGGGTGACCCTGCTGGCTATGGGGGCTCAGAGTGCTGCAAGGCAATAGAAGGTGACCCATCAGATACAGGGTATCAGGGCACTTTATGGCACCCAAATACAACCCCTCTGGCTATGGAGTGTTGGGATGCTATGGGGCACCCAAATCCAACCCCACTGGCTATTGGCTGTTGAAATACTGTAAGGGCACCCAATTCCGACCCCTCTGGCTGTGGGGTGTCAGCGTACTGTGGGGTACAGCCAGCCAATTGCAGGGCTCCACCCCCATCCCAGCTGCACAGCGCCAGCTGCCAGCATCCCAACACGCTCTTGAGTAGTTAATAAGTTGTAGAGGAGATTTTTGGAGTAGGCAGGGAACAGGTAGGAGCAAGCCTGTGTCCAGCAACCACATTCCTGGGGGAGGGGGGCTGGAAGCACTGGCACTATCCCCGGCATGCAAGGCTGGGAGCGGGAAACATGCACCCCACTGCCATGGGGCTGTTGCTGCCAGGTCTGAAGGGTTTGCCTATGCCTTGGGATATTTTTCCCTTTGCTGGGTGCCAGCTCAGGTTGTCAGGATAATGCTGCCGGGGTGGTTACGTGCATTATCTGTTTCCTTCAAGGTCACAAGACTTGTGCAGGATGAGTAAAGATATTTATCAGTCAGTCAGAGGATCTCTCACAGTACTCTCGGCCCAGCAGGGTGGGAACAGGAGAGGCCAGGCTGGAGGGGTTCCTGCTGGGCCGGGAGCACCCACAGGTACCCTGGAATGGTGACACAAACCTCATGGCATAGCAAAGGGGTTGCACTTTGCACGGTGATGCAAAGGTGACCAACGGTCACCGAAACCCAGTTAAACGTGAGCACTGACAACACTACAGAAATCAACAAACCCTGACCTGCCAGCACTGCCATGGGGGAAAGGTAAACCCTTGGGACTTCCAGGTCCACAGAAGGGGTTTGGTGGGAATGAGCATGGTGGTAAGTGCTTCCTGATACCCATCAGCCGAAACCAGGGGATGGCTGTGGCAGGTGGCTTTCTCCTCCTCCCGCCCTTCTCTGGTTACCCGGCGCCATCTCTGCAAACAAAGGGGAGGGTGTGGGACGCAGGTGATGGTGACGGAGGAGCAGAGGAGCGTCCAGCAGCCAGCACTGAAACCCCACCCCGGGGCCAGCCCATATAAATAGCACTGCGCACAGGTGTAAGCCGATCCCCCGGCTGCAAGCGGCGGCGGGTGGCAGCAACGGTCTCAGTCCGTGGGTTCTTCTCTGCCATTGCCTGGAGCGCGTCACTGAACCGTCCACCATGTCGATGGGGCTGGAGATCGGCGGCGTGGCCTTGTCCGTGCTGGGCTGGTTGTGCAGCATCATCTGCTGTGCGTTGCCCATGTGGAAGGTGTCGGCCTTCATCGGCAACAACATCGTGACGGCTCAGATCATCTGGGAAGGGCTGTGGATGAGCTGCGTGGTGCAGAGCACGGGGCAGATGCAGTGCAAGGTCTACGACTCCATGTTGGCGCTGCCGCAGGACCTGCAAGCCGCCCGCGCCCTGCTGGTGGTGTCCATCATCTTGGCCGTCCTGGGCTTAATGGTGGCCATTGTGGGTGCCCAGTGCACCCGCTGCGTGGAGGATGAGACCACCAAAGCCAAGATCACCATTGTCTCCGGCGTCATCTTCCTCCTCTCTGGTGTCATGACCCTCATCCCTGTCTGCTGGTCGGCCAACACCATCATCCGGGATTTCTACAATCCGCTGGTGATCGAAGCACAGAAGCGGGAGCTGGGCACCTCGCTCTACGTGGGCTGGGCGGCCTCCGCACTCCTGATGCTGGGGGGGGGGCTGCTCTGCTGCTCCTGCCCCCCCAAAGACGACAGGTATCCCACGGGCAAGGTGGCCTACTCCGCCCCACGCTCCGCTGTTACCAGCTACGACAAGAGGAACTATGTCTGAGACCCCCAGGGTCCCCCGGCACCCCTCGATATCCCCCACCCTACCCACCCACCCTGGGACCCCTCATTGCCCTCCGTGGGGCCTGGGGGCGGCAGCGCCGGGGCG